ATTTTTATCTTTAGCGAGAAAGAACCGAGGATTGGTGGATTGGAGAAGGGTCAGTTAAGCAACAACAACGGCAACAAGAACGTCAAAATCAAAAAATAGTTAAGTAAGCAAAACAACAACTCTGCACGTGCAAGTCACTTTTTAGTACATTTCCTTGCCGTCACAGCACGACTACGAAATGAAACTTCCTATTGCCACTCAGACGACCAACTTCGAATTTTTCTTTCTTTGTATAAACTTGATAGGGCTGTAACACTGAACTAAACTCCAGAAAAGGTAGCCTATATTTAAAAACGAGGTTAAAAAACGCGATAAAACTTAAAAGCGGATAACCCTGATCAGCGACAGGACAGTTTTGTCCTATCAGCTCTTGCTCATTTAATGTACTTTTCGTATTTAACTATTTAAATTATCCGTTATAAATATAACGTAGTTCAACGCTGGCTAGCTGGCTGTCTGTCTAGCAAGAACCACCCCGTCACTCTCGTGCAATTAACTGAAGTATTTCCAGACAAAGGGGGAGTATATGTGTATTGATGGAAAAAGCAAGACTTCAGTTAAGATGTGCTACAGGCCCTTGTTTCCTTCTTCGTCAAAGTTGCTGCTGCACAACTCGAAAAGGTTGTCTCTGGGCGCGGCGTTTAATGGAAGAAGTCCCTCAGTAAAGCTTCTATTTTTCTTTACATAAACAGCCCACCTTAAAAGAGAAGGCAAAATAAATATGAAATCAAAACAGAAACGTACCCTCACAAATGGCCAATGACCCTTATGCATGTTTACGTCAGACGAGCAAATTTCACCACCAAGCCTCGTTTTGAAGTTGAAAGGTTGCTAAGTTTTGCATAAATAAATTCCCAAGGCAGAACAGTTGAAAAGAACACCGTAAAATTCCGAAAATAAGCCTTGGGTCTTACATTTTTCAAAGGCCCTTTATGAGGGGCTTATTTTAGGAGGGGCTTATCTACGGAGGGAAAATTACGTTTCAAAATCGATTGGGCTAGCCTTTTAGTTGGAAGAAAATTTACCGTTTTTGCTTTGTTTTAGGGCAATTTCCAATTACCAGCCCCCCCAGTGGGGAGGGGCTTATATTCGGAGGGGCGATTTAACGAGGGTTTTTTGCGTTACGAGTTTGGGGGGCTTATTTTTGGAATTTTAAGGTATTCACACCCAAAGAGTGCAAATGCGAAGAGTTTTGCTTACAAACGAGGCTTGGTGGTGAATTTTGCTCACCTGACGTAATCATACATAAGGGTCATTATCCAAGTTGTCCAAAACCTCAGTTTCAAAGCGAGGCAAAGGGCAAATCCATTGATATGTATTCTCCTGCAAATAAAACTCATTTTCACAAGAAAGGTTTTGCACTGAGCCTCGTTTTGAAAAGGAAACGTTTTGGAAATCGGAGATGGTCTATTGCCAAACTGCAGGCTCTTTTTGCCTTTTTAGTTTGTCTTATTAGAGATCCTACAAGATCGAGGTTTCGCCATCTTACCGCAAACGGCAAACCACGGTTTGCGGTTAGCGGTTTCACGTTAGCCGTCTGCCCATTTTTGGGACTTAAGTTAATTGATTCGTTGACGTTTATTTCAGCTATAAAATCGTCTTGCAAAATTATGTTTCAATGAAAAAGAATTCGGTAACTAATAAGCAAAAGAATTCTAAAAGGCACTATGTCCTACGTTTGGCAAACATGGGCTTGTGATGTTATAGGTCACATAAGACCTTGCGATACTTCACTAACCCCAACAGCGTTGTCTTGCCGTACAAACGTGAACCTCAAACAGCGAAGCCGACGGCAAGGCACTAGTCATGTGACCTCTTGACGTTTGCGGTTTGCGGGAACTACCGAAAAACCTCGACTCTCAAGGTCTCTATTGACATATGAACCGTACCTGTAACTTCAATGCTTGCGCCGGTGATGTAACTGCTTCTGTCAGATGCAAGGAAGGTGACCACATCAGCTACGTCTACGAAATTCATCAGCGGAAAAATTCATCACCAACAAAAGCAAAAGAAATAGAAAAAAGACGAAGTTAAGTCCTTTTTGAACTGTTTCATCAACGTTTATGAAAGCATATCATCTGTATCTCTCTCTGAACTAACAAAGGGTAAAGGTAGAACGCAAGAAGAACGCGTACTCAAATCCTACACAGCACAAGAATTTTGGCGCTGTTTCGCAGACGGACTTAACCATAGTTTAGTTTCGTCTGTGGCGCAGGCAGCAAAGACCTGAGTGTACCGTCAAAATTTACAGAGGTGCCCCGGGTTGAATTTAGCGGTAACAAAAACTGTCGTTGACAGAAAGTTGTCAAATAAGATGAGAGGCTTCAAGTATCATTTCAGTAAAACAATGGCAGATGATAAGCCATCCTATACCAGTGCACCAAGTTAAGTTCATTTGTGAATGGCCTTTTATGGTCTGTAAAGTAAAACATGTGGAAACAAAGAAACTCACACACCACAAACTCTTCAAATCAAAGGTTCACTGTTCTAACCTGATGGTTGGCCAAGTCTGAGCATAGGAATTTGTTTCTTTAACTAGAAAAATGAAATAGAATACACCAGGAATCATTTTGTAATATCAACATTTTTGGTTAACTACTTTTGTCACTAGAAACGCATGGGACTGAACCCTTTTCAGCCAGAATGAACAATGAAATCTTGTAAGGCGTTTTTCATTTTTGAGTTTGTGAATGAAATCCTATGGTGTTACCATTCGAATGAAACCTCTTCACCAGTACTTTCACATGGTACTTTTCATTTAGTATGTAATTCTAACTTTTGATTCTTTGGACCAAATCCTATGGTGTTACCATTCAAATGAAACCTATTCAGCAGTACATTCACACGGTACTATTATTTTATTTAGTATGTAGTTCTAACTTTTGAGTCTGTGGACCAAATCCTATGGTGTTACCATTCAAATGAAACCTCTTCAGCAGTAATTTCACATGGTACTATTTATTTAGTATGTAGTTCTAACTTTTGAGTTTGTGGACCAAATCCTATGGTGTTACGATTCAAATGAAACCTCTTTGGCAGTAATTTCACGTGGTACTGTTTGCTTTATATTTCAACATTACTCAAACTAAAATTTGGAAATTTTGTTGAACTTTAAATATGACCACTTTTGGGAGTGAAAATGGTAAACTGAACCAATGGTCACACACCTTTTCTATGACTTTTTCAGGGACAGCTTCAGTCATCGGAGTTTCAATGAAACCAGGTAGAATGGCATTACATCTAACACCAAACCTGAGACACACACAAAGCAAAGGCAGTGTAAACTGTTAGCAATTTGTTAAAATTACATCAGTTGATGACAGCAGTTCATTGAAAAACAATATTTTGTCTTTAATACACATAAGTAACATTTACTGTCCAACCCAGAGAACAGTGAAAACTTGAATTATTGCAGGAATGTTTATTGTACTGTAACCAATCACAATATGATCCGGAGATGCAAACAGGTCACAAAACCACACACTAATTACTGTTTCTACGTGCAGCTAAAGTTTTCTCATGCCTGATTGGGTTTTCCTTGCAACACAAAGACAGTCCAGAAATAATTTCAGGTGTTCATGGTTCCCTGAATTTCACAGCAAACTATTAATTTATGCCACTGACTTATTGTGGAATTAACATTCTGGTCAATTTTGATTAATCTTCATGGCTATTTAGGGGAATACACCCACACTCCATAGAAAACACTTAGAAGACCCAATGACCCTGGGAGCCTAAACTACAAAGTTAAAAACCATTTGCAAAATCAATGCAACTCTTGTCATCCAGTAAATGATTAAAACTTAGGGTACTACAGGCTGGTACAGTGTGGAAAGCAAAACATACAAAATTTAATACTCTCCTTTCTGCAACTTTCCTGCTACCCACCCAAAATCAATATGAACTATGAGACACATACTTAGCAAGTTCTTTGGCACATGACCTAGTGAGTCCCTCGACACCAGCTTTAGAAGCAGCATAGTTAACCTGACCAAGATTTCCAACCTTGCATTGTAAAGGAAGAATGTTTTCAAAGACATGATCATATTGATGCAGTTGTAGGATAAGTTGAAGACTGTTTTTTCTTATGGTGGAAGGATCATTTTGCTCAAAAGTCACCTTGCATGACGGCATTTTGCCCACTTACCTGGACTCCACGTAGCTTTTTTTTGTTATGGTTACAAAAAAAGGCCAGCAGTCTGAACTTAGCAATATGGCAATGATCATATGGAAAATATCCATAAGACAGAACTGAAGTCTACCTCAGCAATATTATTGTGAGGATCATTGTGTTGATCATTGAGAGAGATTGCGTTAAATGTTTACCAGAAAAAGCTGTTAATCCACATAGCTGTAAAGTCACTGTCTTTCCATCCTGTGACAAATACATATTGCAAACATGGATTTACGAATTGTGTTATCACTGGCTTTGCTTGGAAATATTATGGTTTGACAGTTACGTGTGAACAGTGCAAAAATATTGAACAGTTTCGTGTGAACAAAGTGTCTGGCCAAATTTTTCCACTGATTGAAAATTCAAGCGGTACTGTGTGAACGTCGTAGCCTGAATTAAATCGTTAAATAGGGAGTTTTAGCAATGATGACGGCTACGGCAGTGAAAATGTCACTTTTAAAATAAATTAGAGTTTTACAAACTTTATAGCGTTTATTCTAATTCACTGAAGATGTCTAATGTGGGCAAATTTCCCTAGAGTTGATTTCTTGGGGGCCACTCAAGTTTACAAAAAGAGAAAGAAAATTTCGTCGTCACCAAAGTTACATCCTTGATAAAACATGAAATTAGGCCTTTTCCATTGCAGTTATGCAGTAATGGCAAAGACATGTGCAAAAAAACGTGATGCACATGCAAACTTGTTGTTTTGCTTAATAATCCTTGCTGTTTTGACGTTCTTGTTGCCGTCACCGTCGTCGATGCTACAACTCCCTATTGACTTTCAGGCAATTGGTTTCACTGCAAAGCAAACCGTATAAATTTTTCTCACCTTGCCTACTATACTCGCCAAATTCACAATAGAACCATTTTTAACACCTTGATCAACCTTAACTTTTGCAACAGCTTGAGTCATCAAAAATGTCCCCTGGAAAGAGAGGCAGATCAGCCATGTAAACAACACGAGGAGTCAGTTTTTAAAATATAATTACATGAGCCAAACATTATTCTATTTTTACAGTGTGCTTGTTGTTAGTTTTGTCATCACTTTAAGACCCTGTTTACATGGAGTGGGGGACCCCGGTCTAGTGGGGTAGGTTTCTTTTGTTTTGTGTCCGCCAGAGCGTGAAAACAAAAGAAACCAACCCCACTAGACCGGGGTCCCCCACTCCATGTAAACAGGCCCTAAGTCTGTCCACCATAAATATTGAAAATGGTGTCAAGATGACACGGAAACGTCATTCTTTTTTATCCACATTATTTTTTACTTGTTCCTGATCCATTTTTAACCTATATAATAGCAAGAAATCCCCAGAATTTTAATGGCTGATGTTATTAAAAGAGATATTGGTTTATACAGCATAAAAACAGTATGATGCAAGCATATGCATAAACACACGTAGGTAGTTAAAGATGAATCCAACATAGCAGCATGTTTTCTTGCTTGTTCTTGTGCTTTTCTTTGCATCATTCCAGTTTAGTTATTAGCTTTCTTGTGCTTAGAAGTGTGCTTATATCTAAGATATATAAGCCAGCAGTTCTGCACATTGACTGAAATCAAATAGGCCAGTCTTTAACAAAATGATTGAAGAGTAAATGTTAATTTTTTTAATGCCATTTGCATGAATGGTTAAAGCCACTCACCTTGAGGTTGACTTTAATGACTTTATCAAACTTTTCCTCATCCATTTTCAGTAAGAATTCATCACTAGTGATGCCAGCACAATTGACTAAAATGCACGGTGGCTTCTTATACCCACTTATAATATACTCTAACACCTTATGTATTTCCTCTCCCCTTGACACGTCTAAAGAATAGTTTTTGTGTTTTAAGCTGGTATGTTGTGATAAGCTGTCTAGTGTTTCCTGAGTCCCTTGACTGTTTAGATCTGTTACAATGACACCAGCTCCTTCTGTGGCTAAAGCTTGACAGACAGCCCGACCAATTCCACTGGCACCACCTTCAGACACAAATGCATTATTAATAATTTTTTGATTTGAAAAATTCCAAGCCTGTGTCCCAGACATAATCTAACCCTGGCTATTCTTGTTCCCGCACCCTAACAGATTCAACAAATTGTCGGAAATTCATTTCAAATTCCCTTTCAATTAGCCTGAAATTCACCCGATTGCTTCGAGTCGTTTTCTCCTCTCAACAACGTCTGAATCGACCAGCCGTTAATGCCGTCCAGTGACGTCACTCACTACCCGAAAACCAGGTAGTGATTTTGATTGGTTGATTGTCTAAACATTCGCATAATTATGGCTAATTATGAAAAATTTTAGCGGGATTGTCGCTTGCTATTTAGCGGATCGCATCGATGGCATTCTTTCGTTTAGTTCAAACATTTCGATAAGCTTAATCTTTATCTTAAACAGCAAAATTGCCGTTGTCTTCGAAACTGAAATGCTAAATTGAACTGCGAATGAAGAATCATTGCAGAGAGTAGGTAGGTTTTTCATTTAGAGCCGCTTTGTGATTTCGGCGGCCAGTGATTTTGTTTACGCGAAGTTTTCTGAGATCAATGTTATAATTCGACCTTCTTGCTATTTTTACCGTCAAGTGTAATGATTCCGTTAGCTTTTCTTTCTTGTCTCCTTGTTTTTTTCTTCGTTAAGGACCAAATAGCTTCTTTTCGATTAAAGCAAATCATTGTGTTTTTGAACTAAGTGTTCCGTGTGTGTGTTTATTTCATTGCGTGATTGCGACCAAGTTTGATCATAGGATTTAGTACAACCGGTTCAGAGTTGTACTGCATGCAGTTGATAGTTTGAACGTTAAACATGAAGTACGATCGAAAAAAATAAAGCAGTTCTGTATCATGCAGACATTTCAAAACGATATTTCTCGGTTTGCCACTTGAAAATCGTGTTTTTCTTTTTGCATGAATTAAAGCAAAGGTCAAGGAGTAGTGACGTCACTGGACGGCATTAACGGCCGGTCGATTCAGACGTTACTGAGGGAGTAATAACGACTCGAAGTAATCGGATGAAATTCAGGCTACCTTTCAATCTGATTGGTAAATCAACAATGGCTTTTTCAGCAGGCCAATAATGAATTTAATGGTGCATTGTTAAATCAAGTGGGGGCTCAGAACAAGGATTTTCTGTGCTAGTTCGTAGACATACTTAACCAGAAGTTTATTTCAGTCTAAATTAATAATTATATTTCTTGTATATTCTTTTAATTGTCTACAGTAGAAATAAAAATGATGTTGATGTTGTTGGTAAACTATTAATTCATGCAATTTTTATAGAAAAAACTCACCTTTACATGAAATTCTTCAGGGGTAGACCCACACTTTATGAAAGTCTTCAGGGGTGAATGCATTTTTATTTAATTCTGCTGGCCTAGGGGTGAAAGAAATTAGGTAAGTCCTCAACAGAAGCCTGGCTAGGGTACGGATATTATTAAAATACAATAGCCCTATGTGAATGCAAGCCCTAAAAATTCCCTCCGTGAAGAAAAAAAAAGGTGAAGTAGACCTTAAACGTCTTTCTCTCCATTTATTAATCCTAAGAGAGACCTTATTAGGATCACAAAACAAAAGCTTACCTGTAACTTATAGTAATAATAATTATAGTAATAACTAGTAAATCCACAGGATAGGATTTTGCTTTGGTAGAGCTGGAGAAAATGCCGGGAATTTCGTACCTTTTGACAAGAGGAAGTAGCCAACCTTTCGCCGAAAAGCTTAGCTGCGGAAAAAAGCGAAAATATATATATAACGGATGACCACTGCTACTTGAAGATCTAGAATATCCGCTAGGATACCCTGTTCCAGGCGTTCAAATTGTGGGGATAATTAAGAGATCAGGGGCGGATCCAGGAAGTTTTGTTTTGGGGTGTAAACTTTGGTTGAATTTTTTGTGGCGGATTACCTTTTTCAGACAGAGACGACCACGTGTTTCGTCAATTTGTGAACGCAGATCGCCGTTGGCACGGGAAATACTGCTTTGCGAGCAGAAGAGAACAGATCATAGGAGGGTACCCAAAAACAACTACATTTTTTAGTATCCCTGGAATTTAGTTTAGTGGCAGGAGGGGGGGGGGGGGTTCCTGGATCCGCCACTGGAGATAGCGCAAAAGAGAGAGCTCTCCCTCTCCCTCTCCCTCCTAATTTAAACCTCGCTCTCTGACTTCACGCTGCTCTCCACTATCTAAACGCCTCGACCAGGCTACCACTAGGTTTAACATCCCTTTATATCCTGAATTCGCCGAGATTAGGCAAATGAAGCGGGGAACTTAAAATGATTCCGGGGGGTACTCGACCAATATTTGGATATAGGTGAGCCGCTGAGGGTTTGAAACCTTGACCCTGTTTTACGACGAAAAAATCCTAAATACATACACTGTTTGGGACAACAGCCTGAATTTTATCACCCTGTTTAGGACAAAGGACAAAGTGCACACCGTCCTGTTTTTCAGCCATTTATTGGCAATGCAATAGAGCAAATTCACGTTATAGTCGCTGCTTTTGTATAGTTGGAGTGCAAACAAATTTCATCCTATTTATTTTCTGAATTTGCAACATGAGCATAATTCCGCATAGAGCCGTTGTATATAATGCCCTTCAGAATTCTTTATTGTTTTTGAGCTTCAAATAAATCCTCCCTTTAGTTTAAGGTCTCGTCCACACGAATCCGGATTAAAAAATTAAAAATATAATTAAAAATTAAAATAAGCGGTTTCAAAAATGCGAATTTACACAAAACCAAGTACGTGCCGGCGGGAGGGGTACTCCTGGGAATTCTTGGTGGGAGTGTGCCGCCCGGTTCTCCAAATCCTGACCCTATGTCAGTCCAAAAAATGTCATTCTTCACACCCGTTTTCAGACCTTGTCTCTACAAAATTATGTCATTATTACTTAGATTAGAACAGCAACGAAAAGGATTTCTTAAAGTGCATTTCGAATTCGCATATTTCTCTTTCTTTCTTACTCATTTGGAATTGAAACGATAAATAAGTTCATACACCCCGTAGTTCCCTCGAAAACCATACCAGATTCCAGACCAAGATAGGCAAAGTGTATACCCGTTTTCAGACCAAAATGGGCAAAACCCCCACCCTTTGGGGCGGCACATAGTGGAGTACCCCCCGGGAAGTACCCTAAAATTGATATTGGTTTCAAAAATATCGAGATTCGGTGGCTGAGTGCTGAAAATTGATATTGGTTTCTAAAAATATCGAGATTCGTACTAGACACATTATCAGAGTTTTAAAGCATAACGAGTGGTTTTTGGACCGTATTACACAAATTATAAGGTCGTATTACTATAAGCAAAACATTACTTATATATGCGCAGAAAGCAAACAATAGTTTTTGGCGTGACACAGCATTACTTTTACGACTATTTAGACACATTTTATCAGAGTTTTTAGGAAAGCTTTTAGGATCTTAGGATGTAGGTGGGTAATGGAACAAGATTTTCATGGAGATTTTCAGGTCCATTTCCGGTGGGAAGCTCATTCTGGTAGAAAGTGCACACGAAGAAAGTTGTCCTTGACCGTTAAAACCAGCTCAAAGGGTAGAAAACCTGGATCCGCACGGGCGGTTACGGGCGGTTCAGGGGGCGAATGGGTTAAGGAGTCTGCGAGCAAGCTCTCCATTTGGGGAGTCATGGGTCACACGAGACCAGTCGGGAAAAGCGACGCGAAGGGGCGGGTGAAAGAAAGGGAGCCACGCCTTGCAGCTTCAACGCTCACTTACGCATTCTCTCCAGACTTGCACAGGACGGGTCAAAACCGGTATTTTTTCTTTAGAATTAATCTAATTACCAAGTGTTTCGCGTGGCTTGTCTGGCGCGTATTAACCTGTAGTCAGGCGTTTTTTTTTTGTACTTTTTCCCTCGTCTCCAAAACAAAAAGGGAAGAAGGACACCTGATCACAGGTTAGTCGCGTAGTTGATTTGTTCACGCCTCGTGTAAACAAACCAACTACGCCACAGACAAGCCATGCCGCCACCCAAACGACTTCGTAAACGTTAAAAGCCATGCAAGAAAGAAACTGCTGCTCGTAGGGTATCCCATACTGGTGTCATGCCTGGAATTTGGAAAAGCGGGATGTAAAAAAATTCCTTATTTTTTACGCTTTATTGCATCCATTTTGAAGTTATTTGTAATCCTTGTTATTTAATTGGTTTAAACAAGATGCGGTTTCGGAGAGCAGATTCACTGCTCTCGAGTGGAAAGAAGGCCGATTCGCTGGGTATGTGCCGCTGGCCTCTTAGAGCCCCTACCCCATTACAGTCTTTTCTGTGGCCAATTATAGACCCCGTCTTTGTCACTTTTGGACAAATATGTAATTTTCGCGATCCCAACTCAGTAACTTTCTATCTATGTATCTACCTTAGCTGTCCCATTTTTTAAATTGAAAGAAGAACACTTTACCTTTCACCAACCTCGTCCCCTGGGCGCTTTTCCCTAGCTTTGCAAAGCCAGGGAAAAGCGCCCTGGGGACGAGGTTGGGACGCGTACGTCTGATAGAAGTTCCTTTACAAACCTTGGACGAGATTTTAGGCGGCTCTTTTCCGACAACAAAGCACTCAGGGGGGAGGTACCAGTAGGTGCCAGCTCCTTGGGACGTGTGTGCCATGTTGTCATCATTACAGTCCATCACTTTACTGAGACCAAAATCGGTGATTTTCACCTCCCCACTGAGGGCACCCGTGCCAACCATCAGAATGTTTCCTGTGAACCAACATAAGTGAACAGGTTTAAGTGCAGAGTACTCGGCCACTCAAAAGCTCTACCTCTAGAACAGTGGCAACGTGGAAAATGCCTCTGCGGCTACGTGCCACTTAGCCATGAAGCCACTGATACAGCCCCGTTGCCACGTAATCTTTAAGCGAAGTAGCCTGTGAAAACAGCCGTTTTTCCTCGCTCTACGCCCTGGGGACGCTTCGCGCGGAGGAACGTCTGCGACTCAGCGGCAGAAATTCCATAGTGATGATATAAATCAATGTTTACATAATAAATCCAGTAGTCATGGGGTTCCAAATGCAAATTTGTTCAATTCTACGTTTCTCCCGGTCGCTTTTGGTAAACTGTTGTGTTCATCTGTGAACAAGCTCCAGAAAACTCAAATGCTTCTTCTAGAGAAGACTATCGATATTCAACAAATATTGGTTTGTCTGTCATTCGTAAACAATAGCTAAAACTATGTAACCACTCCGTCGGCTAAGCAGCGCTTCTGACCGGATTCCGGACAGATTTTATATCATCAGTATGGAACTTCTGTCTCTGAGTCGCAGACGTTCCTGCGCGCGAAACGTCCCCAGCGGCGAAGAGCGAGGAGAAACGGCTGTTTTCGCAGGCTATAAGCGAAGCCATGTAGCAGGGTAATTACGTAGTCACCTAGCCGCGTAGTCACGTATAAGCGCACTGAAGAAGCCATACAGCAATTCACGTCATTGACTATCTTGCCTGGACTGAACCACAAGTTCTCAAAGCGATAATAGGATGTTTTCGTCAAACAAATCGTGGCGTTCTTGCCCGGCTTAACTCCTCATTTTCAAGATGAGGCCAAGTGCAAAATCTTTAAATTCTGGGGGAACCAAGACGATTACTTTCATATAAAGGTAACGCACTTACTCTTGACTTGAAGCAGAGACTTGAGCAACTTAGAAACGGGCTATTTGTACCTTACTTACACGCGATAAAAGGGGGAACACGAAGGAAAACTAGAATCGCGCAAAATGTGACAAAATAATGTATAGAACAAGAAAAGTAGCAGAGGGAAAAAAGGAGAAAAAGGAAGCTCTAGTTTTTCGTTCTTTGCGTTTGCACGAGTGTTATTCTCCCTTTCCCGTCCATAACGTCTGCCATGCTTCCATACATATTTTTCAAGGCTTGTGAGACGGTACATGTTTTGCTATGTTAAGCTGCGCCCAGCAGTGGGTACAAGTTTTTACTCCCGTCCTACCGATGACAGGCTACATAAATTTTTGGGCACGAGTGGGAAATAGGGTATTCGCTGTCTTTTACTACAACTAGTTAACTGATTGACGTTAAGATGAAAAGTACCTGGTTTCAAATCATAGTGAATAACTGGTGGTTTTATCTCGTTTAAATACTTGAGGGCGCTAACAGTCTAAAACAAAGAAACAAGAACTGTTGATTAACAAACACCACAAACAATATAACAGTTATAACAATGCTTTGTTGTTGTGCCCATGGCCACTATTACCTTGAATAGTCGTAGTCTGGGATTCAAAGAAGCAACAAAGCTATACTGAAAAGGGCGTACGACGCACGCGCTTCGCGCAACAGTGTAAAGCGGGCGCCTTGCATAATCGACTTCGAGGAAAACTCCTGACTGTTTTGTTGGAGTAGTTGAGACAACAAGGCTAACGTTAATTAGAATCAACACAATGCATTTCCTTAGTATTTCTAAGAGAATTGCATACGTTTTATGCTAAATTAAATTGGTAGCCTGCTTAGCTGGCGCAATAAGCGGAAGATTGGTGTTGTTTTTGGCGGGGGAGCCGCGAGAAGTTTGAGAAGTTTGGGAGCAAGTCTAATTGAGATCTCCGCGGCCAAGAAAACAACCGACATTTGGCGACGCCACCACTGGTTTCCCCACGAAATGACGTCTGAGAAACGAGCGCAATTGGGGTAGTGCTTCTGACTGGCTGAAGCAAGTTTACCCGACCAATCAGAAGCACTACCCAGATCTGTATAGCGGCACGTCATCAGTATTGCATTTCTGCGCTCATCCCACAGACGTCATTTCGCGGGGAAAGAAGTGGTGGTGTCGCGGAATGAAGGCTGTTTTCTCAGGGTAGAAAGTACCCCGCGCGCATAACAATCCCGCCAGCTAGTCCGGCTATTGATTTCGATGACATAGTTTCTTCCATCTGAAAGATAAAAAAAAACATACCTGCATGACAATAGACTTGGCCTATGGAGACAATAAGAACACAATTTTAAACTTTGAAAGCTATTTTGAGGTTCGCGGGGGACTGGGTCAGTGCTGTATCGCATTGCACTATGGGATTGCTTTGGGGCCACTATGACTTGTTTTGGATTTCGGATCAATTTAGGTTACTGGGAAACTGTCCACCTACCCCTCCCCTAACCCAACATTTTGCCTCAAGTGAGACGCAAATGTTAACGTTGAGTTAGGGGAGGGATAGGTGGGCAGTTAGATTGGTTCGCTATTGTGTCTTGGTGTCTGTATTGTTCAGTGCCTTTTCAGTCTTTTGCATTACATCATTTGGCGATTGCATCCATCCGCAGCACCAAGACACAACCTTGTTTCACTGGGTCAAAATTCGTCCCCCACAACACTCCCATAGCCCACCGCAGTCAAACCTGCATCAGAGTCTTTAGGAATAGACCATTTTACAGTTGTGTGCTCAGTGCCCTGGCCTTTGAATAGAATCGAGGATGGCAGTGACCTTGTTTTGTCACAAACCTTCTTGTTTTTCATATGTAAATGATCATGTTCACGGGCTTGTTAGCATCAGAGTACCACGATTTGCACATGGAAAGCAGGAAGGTTTGTACCAAAACAAGGTCACCGCCACCCTAGTTTCTATTCAAAGGCCAGGGCACTTTTAAGATTAGTTGCATTTCTGAAACTATATAGGGGCTGTCCACACCTTACGCCAGGGAACCAGTGCCTGGGTACCGGCACAAAATGGCGTTGTGTTCATACCTTGAGTACCAGAAATGTAACTGTCTACATAGTTACCCCATTTCACACCGTGTCAGACGCCAATTTTTAAATTTGAGCGTACTGAGCAAGTTTGTGCCTCCCACCCCTCCCATACAAACGGCTGTAAAATTTCGCGACTTTGAACGTTAGTTTTGAACAAATCACTTTCAAACTAAGCAATTTTACTAATCTTAAGGCGCTCTTTCCAGTGGTGTTGATGGATTTTTCCTTAACCTGTCTATGTCAAAAGTTGAAAAAAACCGTGGAAAGGTCTGTTTTGGAGGGCAAATGAGGTGTATTATGGTAGATGCACAAATGGCGAATCCAACTTACTTCTCTCTCTGGAACTGTTTTGTGTTGTTTCAAAAGAAAATCCAAATCATTGCCATTGCAGTATTCAAGAACTGTACAAAACCTGAAAGACCAAGCAAGAACAAGTCAGGGCTGAGCGTAGCTATGAATTACAAGATATGTTATAGGGAACGTTTTAAACAGAACTTTCTGATTTTAAGCTACCTCTTACAAAACTAACGAGATCACAACTTTTTTCTGTGATAGGTAATAAGGACTATATACAACGGAATTAAATAGAGAGTAAACACAATAACAACTACATTGCTGTCGATGAATTTATTGCACGGGAATTAAGCCGATTGTGACTAGGAACAACTATTCTTTTACTCCCACACTTCAGTAAATGGGCCCCATAAATGCATTGTCACCTCTCACGATAAGCAGGTTTTTGTATTAAGCAGACTTTTACGACTAAATGTTCGCACTGGTTAGTGCATGTATTTTCTAGCAAAAAAAGCGTATACTTACGAGTGCTGTCCAATCTCAAAGACATCATAAAGATGAACAATCCGCTACAAGATAAAGAGAACAGTTACGTACCACATGTGCATTTAGTAAAGCAAGATTATAGGTCTGCCACTTATACACCTGGGTGGAGTGGGGCAAAGTGAGGGTACAATGTCTTGCCCACATTACCCATAATTCACCTTGTTTAGCTCCGACTATTTTGCATAAGCATTGTTTTCATAGTCGTGCAGTGGAGGTCAAAGAAATGAACCAAACTATTTGCTTCACATGTAAAATTGTTGTTTTGCTCATTAAATTCAATGTTGTTTGAATTCGAAGTTGCTGTCGTGGTTGTCGTTGCGGTTACTCCCTAAAGACCTTTTAAGACGACAACCGCAACGAGAATTTCTCAAAACTGAACAGTGCCCGCGTGTCGCCCGCGCGCGAACCAGCGTCATTTGGCGGAAAAATATGATAGCTGCCGTCATTCTGCTACGGGTTTTAGCGAGAATGTCATACAGACGGAAACAAGTAATTAAATATTAAACGTTTTGTCACTTTGCGGTCAGGAGAGGGCTCAGTAACCTCCTTCGAATAAAATAACCGTGTTAACTTTTCTGAAATGAGGCTTTCCATCTCAGTGGCTCTCACAAGACATTTCTCTTTTCCTACATAAAATTTCTATGTCTCTTGAAATTTCTGCTTGATAAAATGTTCATGAAAGTCTAAGTCTCTTCAATAGTTTACGGAATAAGTAATGATCCGGGTAAGGTGGATAGCAATTTCTTTTGTTATGCGGCAACGGTGCTTTCCCCACATAGGAATGTTCTCATTTTTACACAGAGAATGCATAAACCTACATGAAGGCCGTTTACGCAATAAAATGCATTTACACTCCACTTTGAATGGGTGTTTTTTAGTGTTAAAAGATTTTGACCAATCACAAGAGTTGAAAACAATAGCCAAGAAAAGTTTACAATTTTACATGTTCCCCACATAGGATTTCTTTGTTATTCAAAGTGAGACCAGATTTTGTTATATGGAAGATGGTTGGAAAGTAAGGATGAATATATGTACTGCTTTATGAAGTTCTGTTAACTTTGCTGTTTAAGCCAATCAGAAGTAAATACAGACAATAGAAAAGTTAGCACCTTTTTTGCATTCCAACATGTTTGTTGCCGTTGTTGCTATCGCTCTTATCTGGACCGCTTCATAAAATTTCAGGATGGCACGAGCAGGATTCGATACCGGAGCATCGGATCTACAGTCTACCACCCAAAACACTAGACTACCAAGCATTTTCTGGGAAGAAGTGCTTTAAGTTGGAAGTATATAGCATCAACCCTAACCCTTAATAAAAGCTAAAGGCAATTTTACTGTCACGCCAGTAAAATGTAGTTAATGGTACGTGACGCTAGTTATCAGTAACCCATTCATGGCGGCTCTTTTTCAACAAAGCAATTGTGTAGTCAGGTTGTCAAGGTCAGCGAACTCTAAGATGCATTGTCTTCTAGCGTAGAACTTTACGGCCTTGTTGTCTTAAGCAGGCTAGTACGAGCCACAGTATTGGCCAATATTTTCAAAGCACCATTCATGGCTAAGAGTCTGCACATGCGACGCTGAGCTGTCTTGTAGTACAGCCTTTTCTACTGGTTATGCCAGCAGACATGCGTCTAGCTATGAAAGCCTAGAACAACTGCTCATAGTTCACTTGGGTTCCAGTGTTCAGCAACGTTTAAGCGCTCAGTATACTATTCTTGTAAAATTTTTCCCTCCCTCCCTCCCTTTGGAGACGAGGTTTAACCGTTTTTCGAGTCAGCGCTTGACCCTAATCACTATTCTACAGGGCTTAACCCTAATCAGTATTGATAGTCAATGCAGTAATCAAGAGAGCCACTCACAGGGTGATCCAGAGTCTTGTGAATATTGTACTCCCGCAACGCATGCCTGTAACAACAGAAAAAACAAAATGTGGACATGATCAAAGGGAAAAGAGGAATAAGAGAAGGGGTGTAAATAGAGAATAAATGACAAAGAGAAAAAGGTTTGGGAACTAGAGTGTGAAACAAAGTAAAGGCAGACATACTTGATATAATTTGCTTTTCTATCTTCTTTCCAGTCATTACTGAGTTGATGTATTTTGCAGGCCACATATCTGTGTTCTAACAAGTCATAACCCTAAAACAATTCAAAATATAAGAAGGAAGATAAACAACAACGAAGAATGAAAGCACCCGTTGAGCCGTTGATACCCCGACCTCTTAGCTCTAACAATCAAACGAATCTAATCTCCCCTTATGATATAAGCGAGCTTTAGAGATTTTCTCAGTACAAAGTAGTAGTGCTCTAGCGTGAACTAACGTCACTCTGGCGGGAAAACGTGGTAGCCGTCGTCATTCTACTAGGATTTTGAGCGAAAATGTATTAGTGGTGGGAACAAGTTATCAAATGTTAGAAGTTTTATCATTTTGCTATCGGGAAAGGGCTTAACCTTCTTCAGGTTTGTACGGGATTCCGGTTAGCTTGTTAGCTCAATTGTTAAGAGCGCTGCACCGGTATCGCGGAGCTCGACGGTTCGAATCTCAAACAAGCCTGAATTTTTTTCAGGCTTTCTTTTCGCAGCTGTAAAAGTTGTGTCTATAACTGCGATGATATTCTTTCAAATAATTTTTCACCCAGAAGTTATCATATATGATTTTCATATATTCATAACTTCATAATTCACCTTATAAACTTCACTGAAGCCTCCTTTGCCCAGCAGATTCAATAACAGATATCGCTTGTTTAGAGTAGGGTGATCTTTAAATCTGAAAAGCGAATGCAGTAACAGGGGATGTTTAGCGAAAAGACAGCTACATGTACCAGTAATCAAAGTTGTGGATGACCTAGCCGGCGACCCTAGAAAAATTACCCAGTGGCCTCAAAATCAGGTAACGAGGCTTCACTAAGTGATAACCTTGTACTGCCTCCATGAAAAGTCAGAAAAATCCTAAATTTTTACGCAAACAAACAGAAAAAAGGGCTTTTGAGAAAAATTTAAAGTAAAAGGAGAAAAAAATTGAGTAGGCAGAATTTTTTTTTTCGCAGCAATTCATATAATTTTTGGCCAAAAACTGTCTACCTGGCTAAAGCCAAGATACAAATTACAGTAACTTAACAGGAGCAGCACATCAAAGTCGATAAAGCTGCATGTACTAAAATGAGACTTACTTTGAGCTATCTTCATTTTGTATCCTTTTTAACTCTCGTATATGCAGCATTCTTTCCCTGTCTAATTTTTCTAATTCCGTTTGAACATCTGTTTCCTCCTGGGGATAATTCAAGGTAACAAAAGTTTCTAAATATGACCCGCAGCCACTATGTTGTGAGATTGGTTCACATAAAAGTGCGATTTATTTTATTTCAAAAATACACAATTCAACGTTTTTGAGTCCACGAACAAAAATGATTTTGTCAGGCATCCATTCAAATGAAACATCCGTGGCATTATTATTGTTCATGTAATATATCAAACATGAGATGCAGTGTTTCATCACCAGATGAAACACCGAGAAGAGAGTTGAAAATACGACGCGCAGCGGAGTATTTTTGACGAACTTCGAGGTGTTTCATCTGGTGATGAAACACTGTGTCGAATGTTTGATATTTCTTCTCAAACAAAATCATTTTTGAAGGAGAAATTAAGGATGCAAATACTAAGCAGTGTTTCATCCGATTTCCAAACACTCATTAAACATTAATTTCCTTTGTATTTTCTTAATGAATTATTAATGAGTTTGAGAAGGTAAGTGCATGGTCAGTGCAACCTCAGCATATGACCATTAATTAGGTAATAACAATTTTATGTAACCCGTGAGCAAGCTCACTTTTTTGGGGTATTGCGTGAGTATTTAGGTGGCAAGCTTTCCCAGCTAATGACGACTGCCCTGCTGCCAAGATGCTCGCATGATACCCTGACATTCATGCTGGCAGCTCCGCTCCCAATATACAGTTCAGAAAACAATCTGATGTCAAATAATAATGCTCTTGATTGAAAGTCATAAAAAGTATATTGTCATACTAACAGAGTCCTTCTGTACCAAACTTTTGCTATTTTTTGCTTTTGCTTTTTTTGGTCAATTTTTCTAACCTCCTACCACAGGTGCTCCAAGAGGGCCAAAAATTAAGAATACATGTTTGCACAGTATTTCAAAGCAACCAAAGGCCACAGAAAAGCCTGGCTGAAGTGATAACATGTAACTTGTCAGTGAAAACAAGAAAACAGGATATCACAATTCTTAAAAAACTGGGCAGCTTCTCTAGCATGGTGTCTGGGCTCATGAAATACAAAAAGCTTAAAAAAGCAGCTTTGACAAGCAATTCAAGCCATGCAACCTGTTATCAGTACACTAAGGCTACTTGACATTCACATGGCACCAGAAAAGTTTTCGTCCGGCTGAAAAATTTGACTGGCCAATTTGTTCAATATTTTCGCCCTGTTCACATGGTACTTTGAACAACTAGACAGTTAAGGTGGTTCTGTCTGAACAGAATACCTACACTTTCGGCTGGTCAAAATTAATGTTGGAGCCGGCTTCCCTGTTTTCCTGTTTCCTGCCCTTTTAGATCACGTGATGAGTTTTTTTTGTAGTACGAAGTTACTTGATATCAGTTTGAGCAATTCACACGAGGTAACGACGTTTTAACACTTGAAAACGAATATATATCCTTGTTTGTATGGATTCGTTGGTCTTGTCCAAAGTACATAATATCCTTGTTTGTACAGATTGGTTGGTATTGTCCGAATAGAGAGTTAACACCAGTTTACAAGTGGATTTGCACCTTACAATTAATTTTGTCCAGTGCCATGAGATTGTACCCTGAGATAACACACAAGAGGTGTAAATTCAATTCCATAATATATGATGAACAATGGGCTATTGTAATATTGTGATCATCCTGCACAATTTTCATACATGTGAATTAATTAATCCACATACCTTTTTCAAACCCAAAGCTCTGAGTTTTAAAATTTCTTCTCTCTCATGGTATTCCATTGGTGACAGGCTGTTTTAACAGTACAAACAATCATAAAATTAACTTGTTAGAGAAGATTAATATTTTTTAACTTAAGAGAATTTCTTCCAGTATCAAGTCAATACTCAAATTGCAGCTACTTCTGTCAAACTGTTCTCCATAAATATACCATGCGGGGAAAGGAGTCATCATATTCTTGGCATACTCTTTAGCACACCTGAATATAGTGGCAGGAAAGTAACAGCATAAAAATTTTCTGCCTACTGTATGCAACTTTTTAATATGCAGTTCTCTGGGTTGGTACAGATATTTGGATCCAAAATTCAAGACTTTTTCCAGACTTTTCCCAAAACAATAGATTATTTTTTCAGACTCAAGGTTACCCAATAGGTAATTAATAGAGACCTTGAAAAAGGCAAGAACCAAACTTTTTTCTTGATGCACAACAAATGTACAGTAACCATAGTGCAATGCAGACATGCACACGTAAGAGAGTTTTTTCAAGAATTTAAGACTTTGTAGGAACCCTGAGTTCTTCTTGATTTAAACTACAACTAGGAAAGAAACGAGGCATCATCAAGAAGCGATAAGAATGCTGAGCTTGCAAACCAGCAGTCTTGGGTTTGAGTTGACCAGGTTTTTGGCTTCACTCCAAGCACTGGACTGGATTTGCTTCTCTGAAGCCCAAGCTTGACTTCCCAAACACACTTGTAAAATACATAGCCATCTGGTTTGCCACTTGCCAGTCAGGTTCTTAATCCACTTACAAATTCTCCAAACTGATCTCCATACATTTCCTTAAAGAATTAGTTGAGAGAATTTGATAAAAGATCTTTAGTGATGATTTTATCAACTCTCATAACCATTTCTCTTGGCAACATATGGATCTTGTTAGGAGAAAATTGATGTTGGTTAATATTGGGACTTAAAGGGTTAACCTTGTTTATTTTATTTGAATTATTTATTTCAGTGATTTAATAATAATTGCTCTGTCCTACTACAGTGTAGGGTAAATAGAGATTGTTTTTCTTTTTTTCATGTTCTTATACATGTACTTGCTCAAGTACATACACTGGTGAGCCTGGTCTTGCAAACTGATCACTCTCTCCACTGCTTGTCCTTGGAAGCTTTTTTTCTTTTGTACCTGGAAATAAAAGAAATATTAATTAATTATTACAATTATCAAGTAATTTGATATTTACAAATCTCTGTATTTTCAATTTTATTGCTCACGGATCAGCTCACAGATGGTGCATGTGTTCACAATAATGTGGAAAAGGGCTATTAGTATCATCAATAGAGAAACAAAACTGATACAATATTATTCCTTTTCTGTACCTTGATGTCTGCTCTAATACACAAGCTTCTTAAATGTAGATGTACGCACTTGCAAATAACAACTGACAGTGATGATGGTGGTACATGTACTGGTGGAAAGGGGGGGGGGAGGAAGGGGGACAAGGTCAGAGCGCACACAAGCCTCTGTACACAGCCTCATACAGTGGAACCTTGATTTAACGACGTGCCAAGGGACTGGGGAAATTTGCTCATTATCTCGAGGGCTTGTTATATCCAAAACCTCAATTTGAAGAATTTTTGTCAAAACAAGCAAAATGTTTATTATATCGAGGTATGGTTAATGATTAATTTCCAATGTCCAGCATTTGCAGATCGGAACAATTTCTGTAATAAACAATAGTAATAAATTTGTGTACAAAGCTATGATCTCAGTTCAGAGCTGTACATAGCTAAGGCACTAGAAACAAAAGAAAAGGCAAACAAAACTGCTTAAAACTACTGACACATAAATTTTATCCTAGTTGGTCTGTTTCACATTCATTTTTAGCCATCTTTCGGTCACATGTTGACATTTATTCGTTATAGCGAGGTATATTTTGCATTCGCGTTTCTGGATTGTGTTTGTTATAATGAGGATTATGTTAACTCGAGGTTCATTATATCGAGGTTTTGTTCTATATATTTTTTGTAATTTTGGCTGAGCTAAAGAAAATCATTTGTTACCCTGAGGAATTCATTATATAGAGGTTCGCTAAATCAAGTTTCCACAGCATTAAACATTTTGGGAATTGTACTGTTAGCTGACCACTGACAAGGGAGGGAGGATCAAAGCCAGAGTAACCACCTTTTTGAACTTGATTGTCCTTCAACTAACACCCTGTGCTTATTGTAATATTTCAATTAAATGAATGACTCACTTGAAGTCCTTTGTGTTTCCTTTAGGCAATCAACCTTTTTTATGATACAAGGTTTTGATGAAAAGACAGTGAAGTTGTGTGTATTAGCTTGTTGAAAAAGTTGTGTTTTCTTCCTCATATGTTGAAAGAGTTTAAACCTAAACTTCGTTTTGAGCTACAGCAATAAAAAAGTTACAAAGAAAAATTACAAGTATAATGCATTACATGGGCTTTGGTGAAATGGTGTAATTTTGAAGTGCCCATAACCTTTACATTTTTTTTTTTGTTAAATGAAAGTATACATTACCAATACAACTTCTGCAAAATAATTTTGGAATTTGAACAAAATGCATTATTAATTACAATTTTTTAATTCTTTCTTTCTTTGGTACATCCATTCCACTGATAAGGAAATTGACAGGCTCATGTGATGAAAATGAGACATTTATTCTGCAACTCAAAAACTGGATTTTATGCATACTTTTCCCTTTCTTAGGGTCACCATTGTTGTAGGCATATTTTACTATTTAACAGCTGTCTCATTTGTGAATTTGAAGAATTGTTAGTTTGAACCTTTATTTGAACAGTGACATTGTTTCCTTCTATAATTTTATAGCAAAAAGAAATACCAAAAGATAAAAATAAGATTATTACGCAGCAAGTTCCTTGAAGGCATGTCCTTCAACCCAAGTTTCCACAAATGATACTCCTTGCCTGTAAAAGGAAAGTTTAACGTAAGTCACTTCAATCTGCAAAGATCAATCGGCTGAAAAAGAATATTATTACAAACTGTTAACTGTAATTGTAATTACTGTTATTTGTTTACCCATAAAAAAGCACTTAGGAGTTCTTTAGTATCCAGAGAAACGCCTCTCAGAGCAAGGGAGAGACCCAACCACAAACTCAACCGACATATGGCATCAATGCCAGGATTGGAAACCGGGCCACATTGGTGGGAGGAAAGAGCGTTCACCACTGCGCCACCCTTGCTAAAGGTAAGATTTTAAGACAGAATCCACCAGGAAATTGAGTAATTTTAATTTTCAGTGGACAAAAACCTTGTACCAGAATAATTAAAGCACATTGCATTCTTTTTTGAATTTTTCAAGGCCTAATGATGTATTAGTCATCTGTAATAACACCAAAGAAAATTTCTTATGGGAGCCCGAGGAAATGAATGTCAAATTTCACAAAATTACATGTACATCTTTCACATGGGATTTTCAGAATTTTACCAGTGTTTCCACAATTCTTGTGAAATTTGACATACATTTTCTCTGACTCCCATGATGATTAATTACATCTTTAGGCCTTGAAAAATGGAAAAAAAAATGCAATAATTATTCTTTAAATTACTCTGGTACACTGTACAAGGTTTTTGTCCGCTGAGAATTAAAATTACTCAATTTCCTGGTGGATTCCGTCTTAAAAACTCCTACTGTAAAAATTAATTAATCATTACCTGACAGGAACAAACTGTCCAAGTCGCAGTCTGTTCTTCATACATCTTTCTCGCCCAGCCTTTTTTTCAAGAGTAGACTGTTCGTAAAAAATAAAAAATAAATAAAAAAACGGGACAGGGTAAATAATATAATATTGTCGCTGCAAAAGCCTCTACTGAATATAAATTTTGATGACTTACAGATGTTATAAGTAGTTTCTTGTTGATGGCTAAACATTTCTCAAGGCTTTCTTTTGCTTTGGCAACAGCTTTCTAGAGGTTGAGAATGATAAACAGAGTAGTAGACTTTTCAGTAACCACAAATATAATGTGACCAAAAAAATACCCAATAATGTATACTTTTTGGCTGGCCTAAATAAGTGTTATATTTTGTACTGAACAACTGCATCATTTGAACACCATCACTGATAATAATGTCTTGTAAAACTGATTAAAAGTTCTCAAACAAAAAAATGTAAATGAGTAGGTGGAATATGAATGAATGAGTTTTATTTCAATATGATAGTTCCGATAAGTTAAAAACTTCTTTACAAGAAAGCCGTATTGTATGTAAAGGTCTATTTAGAGTGACCATTAAAGAACAAAAATTATGTTTACAAAATTAATCTCTACCTGCCAGTAATTAAAAATACTTAGAATTTGAATTAAAGGAAATTAATGGATTTAGTGACAATTTGACAGCCACCAACAGGTTCCTTTTAAAAATGCTCTTAGGTTCAACTGATTTCAAGTTCTGAGGCAGAGAGTTACGCTTTTATGCTCCCCTTTACGAAATCAAACCTTTGTAGCATTCTGTTTTTGGAACAAGTAATATTTCATTATTCAAAATACTTCTTCGAGATCTAGAGTATTGGGGTTGCTTCCACAGCTCATTGGAAAGAGTTCCCTCGGATAATTATTCACTCAGGCACGTTTTTGTTTACAATATGATACATAAAAAGGCAAAGCCATCTGTCCCTTCCATGGCTAAATTATCCCAATTACTGTAAATCCTCTATTAAGCCCTGCCCCCCATCTCAAATAAGGTCCCTCTCTCTAATAAGCCCCCCTTTCCAGGGGAAGAAAGTTAATAAGCCCCTCCCCTCTTCTCTTTTAAGCCCCCCTCCCCTCCCCCTCATTATTCTTCACTAATAAATGATAGACTGTGTTAATCAATCACAACTTGGTGTGGACTGATCCAGGATGGTTAATCAACCTGTGTGGTAGTCATCTTCAGAGTCAAAGCGAGATGTATAATGTCAGTTTAAAGAGCATCAGTTATTCTTGAAACCAATCTGCCATTCATAGTTTATCTAACTGCTCACCTGTTGAACTTCAACTTGTTTTTTGTAGTCGTCGACAAGCTTAAGAAAAACAAAACAAAGCAAATCATCTGTAACGAAATAAATGAAACTGTACATTGTATAAAGCAGGACTGCTTGATAACATTATCACGTACAGCTATAGATACAATGTAAGTCTTGGAAGGTGGGAAAGCCTACAGCGTAAAAATGTATCATACTATAATTATGTACTTCAATACACCTGTACATGTATGTGTCAGAGGGTCAAATGAGAAGAGCAAAATTAATAAGTGAAATATAATATAATAATATTTCATAGTTCAGGTTACCCCTTTAAGCTCTTCAATTTTGCTTTCCTTTTGTTGGGAAGAGGCCACCCCTGTTGACAAAAAGGCCTCCATTTCCTGCAGGAAAAAAATAACATTAACAAATACCATTGTAAGCTCTTAGAACTTGGCAAGTAGTCCTTTCACTACTGTCTTAATTATTTTAATCTACTGTTTTCTGATCACAATGAGCTGAACTGATCCTAACCCTAAATTCTAGTAAACTACATTGTAAAGGAATTCTCAACACGTGTAAGGAAATTCATAGCAATCAGTCATGTAAATGATAATAAAAAAGAAAAAACTAACCCGAAGACTTCCAGTTGTCAATATTGTCTGCAAAAAAAAAAGACAAATTAAATTACTATAAAAGGTAATAATTCTTACAGAAATCCTTTTAAACACAATAAAAATATTACCGCAACATCAAGAAATAAATTTCTATACAAAAGTGTTTACTCATTCTCTACTGCATTCTCTCTACATGTAGGTGTGCTGTTGGTACCTTTTTTACCTATGATAATAATGTTATGGTAATAATATTTCATAAAAAAATGACGATGACTTGTTCATCAGGTGCAGGGATAGCCAGGGGATGAAATATGAGAATGCATGCTCGATAGTGGCTTTGGCAGCACAGCTAGGTGAAGGCCCCAACTAATGATGTCAATACCCGTATATCTTTGTAGCTTTAAGTTATAATTACTGCAGTTTCAATTTGACTTGCTGTTCCCATTAACATAAACATCATCATCATCATCATCATCATTCTTAGTATAATTGATACCAGGGACCTGAGTACAGCGATGGCAAATCTTGGCATTTGGGAAGAAATTTCTATGAATGTCCTGTCCACTTCGGTGGTCAAAGGATGATGATGGTAATAATTGATACCAAGATCAACATGTTGCAATCAGCAAAATTATTACTGTAACTGTAATTTAATTTTATCAGTGATTTTGCTACAAATAGTTATGGTGAGTCCTGGGACTCATCTTGTGAAAAATTTTGAGTCCCACTCCAGAAACATTGAGTCCCAGTTCAAAAAACAATAAGTCCTAACTTGCTTGGGCCTTTATGTGACCAGGTGGATAAAATTGATCTTTGCGTCCTACATGGGATGCATGCCATATACGTTTGTGCATTTTGGGGGATTTTTATGTATCAAGGATGCAGGACAAAGAGGTAACAAAATCACTGTATTAATATTATTTTTTCATTACCATCATGCTTGATCATTGTTTTGCTGGTACATACAAAATCTCACACGAGAGGTACAAATGAAATACATTTCATATACAGTTACACGTGCTTAATTCAACCACCAATTTAACATTCACAAATCATACCTTCAACTGTGAGAGTGAAGTTGAGGTTTTGATAGGAAAGAGTCATGATCTGAAGAGAGTAACTTACAAGAATGGCTTCAAAAGGGAACATTTTTGCCAAAGGGCACTTATCCTTTTTATTGTGAAAATTGGATTTTACCATTTGCTGCATTTTGTTTGTGCATTCTGACTTGTAATGACATTTCTACTCACATTTTTAGGTTTTGAAGGCATTGTAGTGCAACTTTGATAACCATGCACAGAGTGAATTACAATAACATGTAGCAAAATCTCCAATATTAAAAACATAAATAACGAACCTGTGTTGACTCATGAACGAATATTCCAGCTGAATCGACACCATCAGACCCATCTGATTCCAGTTCAGGAGCCAGTGGAGCTTTTAGTGGATATGGTAAAGTGGAACTACTGTCTGCATGAAACTGAAATGTAAAATAAAGGAGTTGCCAGCAATGAACCATCCCTAAAACTCATTAGGAACCTTTGTTAACCCTTTAAGTGCCAATAGTGACCAACAACAATTTTCTCCTAATAATATCCATACATTGTCAAGAGATAAAGTTATGAGAATTAATAAAATGATCACCAAAGGGAAAATGCCTTGATCTTTTATCAAATTCTCTCACCTAGTTCTTTAAGGAAATGTCTGGAGATCAGTTTGGAGAATTTGTATGTGGATATTAGGACTTAAAGGGTTAAGATCCAAGGATGGGAACAGCAGCAAAAATGTTGCCCAAAAGTAAATTCACATTCTTTTAATCTTCATCACGAATATTCCAACTCACTTGTTTTGCCATTTATGTAAGCAAACTCTCCTGGAATTCAATTTCTAAGAACCATTATTCATGTTCAGAAAAAGAAAGAAAATTTTATTGCCGCTTTTTTACGTTTTCCATAAAAAAAAAAAAAATTAGAGATTTTTATGTTGTACTCATGCAGTTACAGCCAAGAAATAACAAAAAAGCATGATTCACATGCAAAATTGTTACCTGGGATGTAAATGATGGCATTAGATTCAAAGGGCTTTTGCGTGAAGCAGAAGCATCATTCTGTAACAGAAAACAAAAAAAAGGAGAGTTAGAGTAGTTTCTCTGAAGAAAACTTAATTGTACTGAGTGTCATTACAGTCATGTACATAATTTTAAAGTAAGAACTAAAAAGACACTGACATCCATATTGAAAAGTTTTTAAAAAGAAAGCATACCTTAAAGTACTCTGTAATTTTTGCTTCAGAGCGTCCACTCTTACTCAGAACACCTTCAAAAAAAAACAAAATGATTTAAAAAACATTATGTAAAAAAAATTTCCAACTTCAGTTATAATTATTGATGGGGTACAATAACATATTTCAAATCCTTCTAAATGTACATGTAGTTATAGGGCACCGTCTGTAAACTTGCCTGTGAATAAAACCTTTCAGTGATATATAAATTATACATACAGCCACTGTACTGTACACATGTAACTCGATTGAGTTATCAAAAATTAATGCAAGCTCTGTACAGAGCAGTCTATTAATTCTTATTATAAACAATGCTTCTTTCGACAACTGTATGTAGTTACATTGTTCTCATTGTTTATTTCTATTAGTCACTATAGTCACTGGTAGAAGTCCAAAGCTTTTAAAGTATTCATGATCAGAATCATTACATCTATGAATAAATCAAATTATTATCAGTACTTGGAGAGTCTCCATCCTGGGCTGCTTTTCGTTTTCGTCCCAAGTGCTTTTCACTTCTCTGACTGGGTGTGATGCTCTAACAAGAGGATTATACAATGTACAACAGTTTGTTGAGTCATTACGACAATACTTTTTCTGATTATGTAAAATGGGTCTCATAAAAGACTGCCATGCATCAAATAATGTGAAAACTGACCAGTAATAGACCAATTTTGATATGTTACTGTGTAAAATTCATACTTGGCTACTACGCTTGGGGAGAGAAAACAAAAGAATAGCGAATAACGAAGCCAAAAACGAATTTTAATACATTGAAATTGGTCTATTATGAGAATGAACATAATCCTGGCAATCCTAGTAGCTTGTGTTGTATGTGTATGACCCCCACAATAAATTGAAACCTAGACTCTAAGCATCATAAAAATAATTAATTATGTCCAAAGGATGTCATTATTGAATGACTTTTTTGAATTATGAAATGAAAATTGTTCATTTTAATTGAATCAGCACAGACAAAATTCATCATAGAGCTTGAGCAAAGATGTTTTTTTAAGAGGCATATCAACTGGAAGTTACAAGTAGGTCCTTTGAATTCCCTTTTAACAACACTACAGAATTTTCATCGCTATTGGAAAGTGTCTTAGCTCTTATAGAGAGGATCTGCCAAAATTAGGTAAAACCCCAACCCAAGAAGGCAAAAAGCCCACTTCTGTATGATGTGTTGTTCAAAAAATTAATGTCTTTGCTGAAGACCTGTATTAGGAATTATTGACAGTTGCTGCTTAGATGATTGCATGACTTCTTGTATACCTCCAACTCTTTATCGCTTCCAGTTGAGGAAATACTTGCATTACTATGCTGAGAATCTTGATTTATACTCTGAGGAATAAAATAGCAAAAACATAACCTCATCATTACAAGAAATCAATAACAAACTCGGTAAAAATACAGTGTGACCCAATGACACAGTGATGAAAGCAACATCTTTCTTATTAATTAAAAGTATGCCCTACTAAACTATTATAAGTCAGAGCTTAATAACCCTAATCACTATTGTCAGTGCTTAACCTTAATTACTCTCATCAGGCCTGTAGACACAGATGTATTTCTGGTCGTCACTTCTCTCCATCTGAAAAGTGACGTAAGTTACCTTTCAGGTGGAGAGAAGCGACAACTGGAAATATGTCTGTCTGCCAGCCTTGCTTAACCCTAATCATGATAAACAAATCAGTGGGTCTAACTCAAACAGGGTGAATGTTACGGAGGGAAAAACCCCCTGTTTTCCTCTTTCCAGTCCTCCTACAGTGTATCTCTTTTTCTGCAATGCAACCATGGCCCTACCCCTCACTGAGGAGGACATGGGGGTTTATGGTATTGCGGTATTGAGCTTTTTTGAAGCAGTATTTTGGTATCATCTAGCCCTGCAGTATGCAGTTTTTCATCCTTTTGGTCGGTGATGGTATTCGGTAAAAGGAGATCCTTTATGGTATCGCAGTACTGTTCATTTGCGTTCTCCTGTCTAATGCAGGTCAATATTTTTAAGACTTTAGACTTAATGCAGGATGCAAAAAAAGTCAGTTTTACAGCCTGCCATTTGGGCAAGCTGTAGCTAGCATGTAATAGCCCACAAGTCATTTCAACTAGCCCCCAAACCCTTTTTGATTGGCACAATTGATTACAATCCTTCTGTAAATTGAATTTCCCCTCAAAACAGCACTGGCCCATCAGGCAAGTTAAAAACAAAAATCACTAGCCCAATAGCAAAATCCACTAGCCCCGGGCTATCGGACACGACTTTCTTTGCATGCTGTTAACGGTAAAAAGATTACAAAATTTCTGACCATTAATCCATGGTGAAATTGGCAAGGCATCCAAGACCATCCAATGATCAGGCTTTTAGATACTTGTACCAATCAATACAAGGTCTTCACATGTTTTCTCGCAAGGGCTGGGGTTAATTACTGTTGCTTACCATGCTTGCAATAACTAGACACGTGAGGTGACTGATCATAAATGTGGTATCGGTAGTTTGCCAATTTTCTGCATGGTATTTCGGTATTTGCCAATTTTCCTTATGGTATTGCAGTATTGGGTACCCCCTTTTGGACAGTGGAGTGCAGTGCAATGGAAGAGAGCGAGAAAAAAATAACTAGGAGGAAAAGAAGGAGGAAAGGGAGAGATGAGCCTGGGAATGCCTGTGAGATTTCTTTTCAAAAGGTCATTCCACCCACTTTGTCAGCTAATAATCTGAATGTAGTTTCCAGAATTAAAAGTTGTCAATCAAGCAACGAGCGACATACTGCACTGTTTACTGAATTTTAAAAAAATATGCCTGTTTTCAAACAAAACGTCCCCAGTGGAGAGGAACAAGGACAAAGTGAAATGGCTGTATTCGCATGCTAAACAAAGACTCATATCAAAAGATGGTTCATGCGCGTATTTAATATTCCTGAAGAGATCTGAAAGGAAAGAGCTTGTTTAAAAGCCAATAAAAATGGTAAAATTTGGAAGTCCTGTTTTCTCTTCACGAGATCCAGCCTCAGAACAATTTCTCCCTTTCTTCAGAGATGATACTCCACATTATCCATGTTGCTTATTTCGAATCACTTCACCATGCTTCCAAGATAACCTGATGTGTAACCTCATTGCTAGCGCATCACATTTCCAATCAATGTAATGAACCCTAAAGTGCTGACAAGAGCTGTCAAAATAGACCAATCATAGAGTATACCAGAATCTGGTATACCGGAATGAGCTTTTGTTAAAAAGTCTTACAGGCATTCCCTCGCTCTCACCCCTACACCACCCTCTCTTTGTTTTTTTTTTCTGCTCACATCTCTTTGGGCTGTCAGGCTACCCTCCCCACCCTCCACACCTCCCAATCTGGTCTCCTTATAAGCTGCCAGGCACTCCCCTAAAATTAATATACATTACTTCCATTGCAAGAAATACTAATAGAAATTTAAAGCTTATTACTGAAGCTTATAACCACCATGCCAGGATATAAATCAATGACTAAAAGCAAACAAAATGGCGTCCATTTATAATCAGAGAAAAGCAGTTCTGAAATACCTAAATATTTTAAAACCACGAGGCAAATATCCACCATGAAACATTTAAGGTTAATTTATTTTAACGCACCCGAGGAGTGTGAAATCTCGCCTCTAAAAGTTCACGTTTCTGTGGGTCGAGTGCTTCAAGGCGCGAAAACTGTATTTCGGTAAGTATTTCTCCCTCGCCGTTCCGCGAGTCATTTGCTGTTGCCACTGAAACAATACAATGGAAAGCATTTTCGGCAGGAACATGTACAACCAAAACAATGCCAACAACAGTTTAGTTTCGAAGTGTGACACTACAGGCAGGCCAGAATACGCAGATGGGCTTACTTGAATTTCTCTGGCTCATCTGCGACGGTTTCACTTCCCTCCAGATGCAACTGAAATACAATGCTGCTAGCTTTTAGCGAGCCAGTAGGCTCCATCATATTTCAAGACATCGTCTAAGGCTGGTCGAGATGGAAAACGCATGGTCTAACAGTTCGAATTCCTCGCAGAACTCATTTCAATATTTCATGTTTTGCATGCACGTCTGGCAGTTCTCGAGAAACGCGAAGCGTGGTTACCAAGACTTTGCTACTGGCTGAGGAGCGGGGAGGGGAAAGGGAAGACAGGGGAGGGGACAGTGGACGGGAGAGAGAGAGAGAGTCAGTAGGGAAAGAAATTCTAGAGACCCAACTGATAGAAGGTTGCCCGCGTTAAATTGAGAAGTTTAGGCGTCGCCCCACAGCTAACCAAGAAAGAACAGATGGTAAGCCATCCCCCCCGGGGGGGGGACTCCGCATATGAAAGTGGTGGGGATGCTCATCGAAAATTTTGAATAGGCTATTTGCACTAAGGGGTCACGTGACATCGTTAAGTTGTATGATTTTGCCTTCGAAAAACGATTAGCAGGTCATATCTTAAACAAAATAATAGTGATTTGGCCCGCACCATTTTCTTAAAATGAGTAAGTTCGTAGCTCGTGATTTTTAAAATTATGAATTACCTCTTTCTGAACACAAATTTTGCACTTAAACTTCAAGGAAAATGTTGAAAAGATGATGTGGTAACGTTTACAGGACATCTGAGCGTAACTATCAAACGTTTAACAAGATATAAGCAAAAAGTAGTTTTGGCCGCCATGTTGGAGGGCAAGAGTATGCCCTCCAACATGGCGGCCAATACAAATCATACTACTTTGTTGAAAAATCAAAGTGCCATAAAATATCTCCCTTAAATGCGTTTCCTCTCAAATTTCGGGTGTAAGATAATTTTTATGTGCCCTATCAATTTTTAGCATCAACAAGATTCCAACTCATTGTTTTAAGGAAGCATTGGTCACGTGACCTCTTAGTCTAAGTGGCCTATTAAACCCCTAAAAGAGACCGATCCGGGCGTGGCCCAAGCTTTTTTTTTGACCCCCTAGAAGAGACTATGTTAAAACACACGACGACTTATATATATTTTTATATTTTTTCGCGTGCAACCCTAAACAAGACCTTCACGCCTAAATATGATGGCGTTTTTCCCAAAACACCCTAAGTGCGACAAAAATTCGAAATTTACACCCTAAGAGAGATGACGAGCATCCCCACCCCTTTCATATTCGGAGTCCACCCCCCGGGAGCCATCCTGCCTTTACTCAGTTTGAAAAACCAACTGAAACTTGGAAAGTATTAAAGTAGTTATCAAAAAGTGTTTTACCAGTGTGCACCAGATTCATTTGTGCATAGACTGAGACGCCTGTATCCTTCAGTTATTTCTTTTCTTTAGGCACAAGGAGAAATGAGACCCTTTTGCCCGAGGTTCTAACCCTAGGGGGGATACTCGGGATTTCAAGTGACACCAGGAGCCCATCACCCTGTGAAAGGGATGATCGAAGGATTGTTTTGGGTGGGAAAATTTTGTTGTGTTTAGTTGATTTAAGCAGGGAATTGTTTTGGGTATTCAAAACAATCAAACGATTCGTGCAGTTCCCGCGTATCCCGGCCGCGTAGTTCCTCTGGAAATGTTATGGCTCGGAAATTCAGCATCGGATTTTTGGGGGGTTAAATTTTGGCCCAGGGATATTTTGGGGTTTCGTTTGAAGCCCTAGGTATTTGTTTGGCTAAGTTTTGCCCCCATTCGATCATCCCTGTCACTTCCATTCAAATTGGGAGTACCCCCCCTCGGGTTCCAACAACACAGTTAACAGCAGGCTGTTAACAGTCATAAGATCTTAGTGAAGGCTCTGGGGAAGAGCCCTGGATTGGGCACTTGTATCAAGTGGTCTGTCGGCCAGTCTCCAAAGATGACCGGTTTTTACAAGTTTGATTCTCAAAGAACACCACAAGAAAGTGTACAGCTCAAATCGCTAAAACGCTTCTATTCATTTATTCAGATTGAAGCGAGGCGCGAAGCGCCGAGCTGAGTGAGTTTATAATCTCGTTGCACGCGCAGTGCGTGGACCGCGCGTGGATCCTAGCAAGCTGCAAACCGATGGTGTCCGCCATGACGTCATACAGTAGTTTGACGTCACGACGCATTTTTAGTTTCTAGGCAATTCCACTGAAAGCAATTTCCCACCAATGACCAAAGCTAGCCTGAATTTCATCCGATTACTTCGAGTCGTTATTACTTCCTCAGTAACGTCTGAATCGACCGGCCGTTAATGCCGTCCAGTGACATCACTACTCCTTGACCTTTGCTTTAATTCATGCAAAAAGTAAAACACGATTTTCAAGTGGCAAACCGAGAAATATCGTTTGAAAATGTCTCCATGATACAGAACTGCCTTATTTTTTTCGATCGTAATTCATGTTTAACGTTCAAACTATCAATTGCATGCAGTACAACTCTCAAGAACCGGCCGGTCGATTCAGACGTTGTTGAAAGGAGAAAACGACTCGAAGCAATCGGATGAATTTCAGGCTAGACCAAAGCCGGCTTGGTTGTTTTGCGGTCGTTTTAGGAGTCGGTAAGTGCCTTTTGCGATGAATTTCGAAAGCAAAAGTACTTTTGAAGAACAAATAGAAGCGATTTTGGATAATTAGCCTTAAGATATGAGCGAAACTCGAGGTAACACTGAACACTCGGGCAAAACACGTTTTGTTCGCAGACGAGTTCATACCGTATCGGCTTAGTTGGGCATCTGTTTTTTAAATGCGATGAAATGCGTTTACGCAGGCGTTAGGTTTTCACCGTCAAAACAGTAGACATTGTTCTGAAAAGTGTCGCTGAATTCGTGTTTAATGGAGCTCGATCAACTTTATACAAGGTGCGCTGACGGAAGTGAAAGGCTGTTAATAAAATATTATCAACGTCTTCGCAATGTGTTTCAAGTTGCATGGTGTCATAGTGGTAACGCGTGCAGGAAGTCCCGAGTTCGATTCCAGGCAGGACCTGTTTTTCTTCCTCTCTTCTTTGCTTTTTTTTTTCTTTTCCTTAACGTCACGTCTTCTTTTTAGTTATTGTAGTTTTGTTTTGTTTCTTTATATAGCCTAAGTATTTTACAATTTATAAATTTTCTTCCCTATTGCCTTATTTCCCTTTTAACTTCTTGCCGTTCTCCCGTGGTCCTTCGCGAAGTCCTGCGATTCACGGCCAAACTGGCCGATATATCCGCACACTGCGCCGAGCACTTTATCAAGTACGAATGTTTTGATTACAGCTTCTCAGTGGTCCAGGCAGCATAGGTTATATGCATGGTTGGTGGGTATCACGCGACGCCAAGGCGATGAAATATTGGCGAAGGGGGAATTATACTCCTTACATATGCTTGTGCAGGTTAAATCGATCATGCACAGATCCGCGCTATGGATGCAATTTTGACATAAATGATTATGTCTGGCGGGAGAACAGAGAACTGCTTACAAGTAACGCTGAACTTCCTGTGATTCAACTGAGATTTGGTGATACAGGGTAAGCTGGAGACGATAAACGAGGCTACCACACCCTTGGAAAACTGAAGTGTTATGGCATAAATCGAGAGTGTTGCAAGTTATATAACGTTATATAGACAAGTACCAATGAAAGACAGAGTGCATCAAGGCAAAAAATCAAACGTCTTTTAATCTGTTAAGAAACTAACATCGACGGAACTTAGGTATAAACTACCTTACTCGATTAAATTGAACATAGCTAGCTTATTAGATGAAAAATGATAATCGCAGTTACAGACGCAACTTGTGCAGTTGCGAAAAGAAAGACTGAAAAAAATTGAGGCTTGCACGGGATTCGAACCCTTGACCTCTGCGATACCGGTGCAGCGCTCTTACCAGTTCAGCCAACAAGCCAACTAGGAGCAGGTCGTTGAATTGGCTCGTTACAAACCCGTGAAATGATGATGATGAGAGTTATGAATATATGAAAATCATATATGTGAACTGCAGGATGAAGAATTAGATGAAATATGATCATCGCAGTTTAATACAGACGCAACTTTTGCAGTTGCGAAAAGAAAGCCTCCCCGACAATTCTTGAACGGATAAACATAAACAAAACTAACACCAGGAAGGCTAGCTGTGATTACTGAACTCGTTTTGTGGTCTTTGAACTATAATTGTGTCTTCTCTGAACTACACTTACTGAAAAAAATAAAATTGAAGCAAATGGATGTGGATACTTAGAAAAGACCGTTCCAATACTATGTCCGCAAGCTGACGTTAAATCAAGTCCGGTGCTTAGATTGACTGGCCTGGCTTATTAGTTCTTAACTGAAGACGTAAAAGGAACTAAAATTATTATCATGTAAAGATCTACTTCTAACACTTCTAACATGATTTACAGAGTAAAAATCAACTAATTTTAAAACCTTGGTTATAAACCTCCTCTCCAAACAACCTATCTTGGATGGAAAAAATAACGAAAAATTTCCTTCCTAGCATTTCTGCTACGCCCTCCCCCTTTCGTCCTAACCCTCACCCTAACACCGGCTAAATATTTAACATAACTCAATACAGCTAGTTCAGTCTGTTTTTTAACTGCACGCTGCTTCTTTATACCATCGGGTGTAGGTTTTCCTTGCAAAACGAAACCACCCCCATAGTTCAATATCTGCCGCTCTTCTTTGGTTACATTGCATCCAGTGAAGTTGTGTAAATTCACTCTATCGCGTTGCCTTTCTCTTTCAAATGTAATGTCCTCACAATTTAGTCTATCCTTATGAATAAAGGATTTTAAATCACTTTGTGATAGGGCATCCCTCTCTTTTACAAAGGACAGAAAACAACGCAAAGTGTCTTTCAGTTCACC